TTATCACTCACTGACAAGTCTCTCTAAAATTTTAATAGTCTAGATGATTATTACAAAGCCTAATAAAGTAAAGGCATGACTGCCAAATTGATTAAAAAAAAAAAAAGCTTTATTGTCTGTAATTCTAGGTTCTGGTAATATTTCTTCTTGAGAGGTGCAATCATTATTATTGATGATATTAATTATATTACAGTCAGATGGTATCTTAAAAGTAATATTAGCATCAATATTCACAAATTTATTCGCAGTCATGGGATTATCAATTTCACCATTCATTGTCAAATCAATTATCAAATCATCAAGTTTATCAAACTCACTTTTTAATTTTTAATCTACTAGCTAATACACCCAATCTCTTTCAGCTGCTTGGTATTGGGAAAGAATATCCATTTTTAGCCAGCAGTTTATGATTGTTTTCTAAGTAATGTTTTTTCATACTTTAGAAGTAGCATTAATAGCATCAAGAATACTAAAGTTTTCAAGTTTAGGAGAACCTTCAATTCTTATTTTGTCAAATGCTACAAGTTGATTTTCTACAAAAATACGTTTATAATAGTACTTAAATGAATATATAATGCTAGCACCACACAGCTGGAGGTAGGCAGTAGTTTTTTTTGGTATCTTTTTAATTTGAATATTACTAAGATCATCCTACTGAATATAAGTATTGCAAAAATTAACAAAAAGAAGAATATGATGCCCTTGGTGCTTCATTATTTTATTAACACGACCTAACCAATCATTATATGTAGAAACCTGCATCCAGGCTGTTTCATTTCAATAATACCAAACAGGTAGCCTTTTCTTATTAATGTTTTAAATAGGCCGTGGATTTTCAAAGGTATAAATAAACACAGGGAAAGCTTTTCTGTACCAATTGCATTTACTGCAAATATCAAGGTTGCACATACTGATTCTTTCTTATAGCCTGAAACAGAACCTTGGGCAAGAGTTTTGGATAGACACATCCTCCAGTAAAGAAATGTTTCATCCATATTCCATATATTTTCTAAAATATATTCTTCACAGATTGCTTGAAAACGTTCTCTGTATTGATTTAATATTTCTGTTGGTAGGAACTAGCAGCCTCACCATTTCTAGTATACTGATGAAGATCTAACCAATTTTGAAACTTATTGACCCAGCCAGTATCTTTAAAATTAATAATATTCAGAGCTATGGCAAAATATTTGGCTTTGGTAAAAAGGGTAGCTTGTATTAAGTCTATATCTGCTGCAAGTGCACTTTCAACCCAAATATGCATGACTTCATTTAACTTGGGCCACTTTGGCTGATGGTTACGTTTACGATTTGCTTTAGCTTCATTAGTTGTATCAATATCTAACCATTTAGAAGATTGCTTGAGGATATCAGATATATATGTCTTCTTAACACCATACTTAACAGCTATTTTATTGTTAAGAATAAATAGAAACTTTAGTTTCTTTTCACATATTTCCTTTTTTTGTTCAGCTATAAGATGTTTTCTTTTAACAGGAAGCATGTTAGCCTTTGTAATTATTATTTTTTTCTTTGAGTAAAAAAAGATAAAATGTGTTTGTATTAAACAAAATTTTTTTTTAAAGCAATCTCTAAATAGAAACTGCAAATATATATTTACAATTATACTTTAGGGCAATAAAGTGTTCAATTATTAATATATAATAGAACCAGAAACCCAGGAAAAAATATCCAATGCTTAACTAAACTATTAAAGTCATTATAATATTAGAGTCAATGGTCTTACTCAAAATTAAGTATTAAGATATTTGCCTCTTATATGATTTCATGAGATAATATTGCAAATTGAGGAGTGTATTAAAATATAAGAGTAAAAGACAAACAGAAAAAGGTAAGTGAAGTAACAAGATAGGCAAAAAAAGGTGAAAGTAAAAAAAAATATAAAGTTTAAATTTCAAGATATTTGAACTTATAATTGTTTATATTATGCCACTAAAAATATTTAATCTATAAAAAAACCAACTTGGTTTAAAGAAAAAAATTGAGAAAATTAAAAAAAATTAAAGGTTTGAGCTAAAAAAAAAATAAAAAAAATCCAAGAATTATTTTAAAAAAAAAATCCATCCTTTGGGGGCTGTACTGAAAAAACGTATTGGAAAGATGTCAAAATAGAAAAGATATTATCAAAGTTGAAAAAAAGGAAGAAGCTCTTAAAAGCGCTATTTTGTATTAAGTTATAATCACGTGCTTATATTTGTATCTTGATTGGTTGCTCAGTTAACTCTGTTAAATAAATATGCAAATGTCTAATAAAATTAGTATATAGGCTGGCCATTATACAAAATATGGCTTTTTTACTATTAAATCTGTTATAACAGTTTAAATTATATATTAAAAATTCAGTACTTTATAATTTGTCTATTAAACTGGTAAGTCCGGACTAAAGGTGTCTGTTATATTGGTATTTGACTATATTTGCATATTAAATTTAATATTTTTCTAAAATATTAAATTTCAGAAATATTTATAAGTATTCAACATACCTTATATTAACAACAAATCTTTCTTTTTCAAGTTTATCACAAAATTCTTGTAATCGAGAAAGTGAAAATTTCATATTAGGAAAAAGATCTAATGTAAACCTGCAAGAATAATATTAATTTAAAAGATTTATAATAATTAGAAGACTATGATTACCTTGTCAGCACTAGTATCAATCCACTTTCTAGCATTATCAAAAGTAATTCCACCACCAATTTGTAAACTATCTATTCTTAATTCAAATACAAATATTTATAACAGACTAAATTAAAATTTTATCGAAAAAAATTTTCACTAGGCCACACTCTTAAAGCTTCTCTAGCAGCCTCATAATTTTTAGGTCCAAGTTTAATAACATGAGCTCCTGTTAAATTATGTCACTTGTAAAGCTCGGCATAATAACTTGGCTTTTTGCTATATATTTAAATTTATAAGATTAATTCAAATAAATATTTAATGAAAAGTATTTCATATACGCGAATTACTATTAAATTTATTACTATTAAATTTATTATTATTATTATTATTATTATTATTTTTTATTATATAATGTCATAGTAGAAACTTTATTACAGTCAGTTCGAAAATTGAAAGTTATCTTATAGTCTACAAATCCAGGTAAGGGGACAGATAAGCTATTTATTTATAACCAGGCTGCTAAAACCCTTCAACTTGAACTAGTAAATTTTA